TGTCTACCATATATGAAAATATGTAGCGTCAAGAGAACCACATCTCCAGCATTTAGGCTGTACATTCGGATACATAGAAGCAAGCTTTTTGGGATCTAAATGCCATCTATAAAACATCTTATAAAAATTTTCTCTCAGATTTTGTGCTTGTGTAAATTTCACATTTCTTACCCATATTCTTTCCCATGTGTCCAGCATTTTTGGTTCCTCAATATTCTGAGCCCATTTTATCATACAATCTTTAATCAGTTCCGTTTCGGAATCCATCTGTATTAGTACATTATATATCCTCTTTATATGCATTAAGCTTTGGTCTCTTAGTTTTAGACCCTGTATTGATGTTCTGTATGAGACACACCACTGTATGTTATAGTTTCCCTTAAATCAAAGCATGAAAACAAATCCAAAAAAACCCATTCTGAATGGGTAGGCAATTACTATTTCATTAAGCATGAAAATAACAGATTGTGTCATGTCAATAAAGTGATCTCCTTGATACATGGTTCCATAGTTGACAGATATATAACCTCATTATACTGCGAAGATGTTTGTATATCCTTGGTTTTAGCCTTATGTTTTAGTGCTTTGAAGCATATACAAAATAGCAAAATACTAAATTAGCTTTATGAATATATAATGTGCCTTATTTTAAAAGATAGTATTAGAACATCTGTACAATGTATTTGCTTCTTGGTTTGGGCATATTTTGCTTAGTCATCAACTATGTGTGACTTCCTTCTAGCAATTCTTCATCTTCAAAGTGATTTGGTTGGCAGGTGATCATGGCTGATACTAATTTTTACACTCCACAGAGATCTTGGTAGAAACACATCTTGACCATAATAGAACTTCTTCCTGACAACTTGTAGCTTGCTTGGTGACTCTACTCTACTCTACTTTGATTGGCCACAGTGGTGATTCATCCTCCTATTCCTGCTCAGAGGACTTAAATAAGGTGGGAAGGTAACAAGTTCAGAAAAAGCAAGAAAGGACAAGACAGTATTGGTCATCTCTTGCTAGAATAGACCATAACCTTAGTTTCTCAATTTCAATCACTGGAAGAGACTTGGAGGATGTGAAAGAAAAAGGCAAGACTGGTTCCATGGAAGCAGTTACAGCAGGATTATGTGAATTCCTTAGGGTTGCCAAGACCTGCTACTTTGTTTACATTGGGATGATAACAATCTCGATCTACCTGGATGCTGAGAATGAGCAGTGTAACAGATCTAGTTGTGCTTCATCTGTGGCGGAGTAAAGCCCTTGTGGCACAGAGATTAGAACACAGTTTTGCAAGCTAACTCTGCCCACAGCCAAGAGTTTGAACTGACAAGCTTAATGTTGATTCAGCCTTCCATCCTTCCAAGGTCAGAAGTGCTTCACAGGATCCAGATTGTTGGGAACAATATACTGACATTGTAAACCATCCAGAGAGTGCTGTGAAGGCAGTATATAAGTCTAGGTGCTATTGCTATTTTAGAAAAAAAATTAACAAAATCTCATGAACAAATCACAAGTTGAATAATTTGGTGGTCCTTTATTTCTTTTTCTCTGATTTTAAATAGAATATAACCAATAAAACCAAAATATAAAATGTAACCAAGCCCAATTGGGTCTCTTTCATGGTATATTGTTTATCCCATCTCAGTCTCAAATACAACCCATTCTATGCAGCTACCAACTATACCTTCCCTCAGTTTTAAGCAGCATTTGTACAATAGTTATCTTCTCCTCCTTGTGTTTCATAGTGATCACTCCAGAAGCTACCCAATGCTACAACCCCTCCTTCATTTACAATGTGATGGGTGGGACAGCTGTAAAAAAAAAGACCTCAATTGATCTCCCCTTCAGTATAAATGAATAATATTGAAGGATGGTTGCAAAGTGTGATGGTTGCTGTCTGTCTGGCAGGAACTGGGAAATCACAAGAGACAAGACAACACAAAAGAAACATGTCCTTAAGACTATTGCATAGAAGAGAAATTATTTCCAAGACATGAAGAATGTGTGCAAAATGGAAGGTTCTTTGGGAGAAAAAACAAGTCACCCAGAACTTATGGGGCTAGGATAAATACCCCTATAGATAAGTAGGCACGGGAAAAGGGGAAAAACAAGGAATGAGAGATCTTCTTTTGTAAGTAGTTGACATCATTTGACATCTTAAAATACTCTCATGGAATACAGAAAGATAGAAAACAGTGAGTCAGTCACTGGTAGAAGAGGGACACCTTGTGGTTACCAAGAAGGAAATGAATTCAAGCAGATATTGTATGTTGCTCCTAGAGTGAACAATATCTTTAGAGCAGAAACAGCAGCCTATTATTAACATGATTATTATGCTAAATGTAGTTAACAGTACAGGTATGTTTTTTATTCATTTCTAAGAATACTTAATGTTGCCTGCGCTTAAGACGAGACTAAGAAGAGAGCCATACAAACAGAACTATGAAATGTTCAACAGGTTTCAGTTTTGAGCTGGTTACATGTGAGAAATTTTAAAAAATGTCCTTGGTTAAAATAATTGCAATAGCATTGTTAAACAACTGCAATGTCAATATAATGTATACCCTGAATATGTGATTTCACTGATATTAAAATGAGGGACAAATGTGAAAACTAAACATAACTTTCTGTATTCTAGCCTTGATTAACACTTTGCTATTCAGATCTTTTGGGCATAAATATAAATTATATTAATTTAGGGCAATCTATATTGGGAAAAGAAGAAATGGAAAAATCATAGTGATAAAATGGTCTTCCTTTTTTGTACTTCTACCATTATAAAATCATCAAGCTTCTGTCTTTTAATAGCATCAATATAGTATTAAATATGTAATATCATTATAACATAGTGGTGTTATATGTATCATATCATTACACAAACAACACAGTTTTATATGATTTACGACATCAATCATGGTACTGTGTCATGACACATGATAAATGGTACAGAATCAACATCATTTGCATATTCATTATATCAATTACCCCACTTAGTCTCTGCAGATGTCACAACAGTTAACTAAACTTTCCAAAGAAAAGGCTGGTTCTAATGTTTCTACTTGGCATTTAGCATTTTCATTGGAACTACACTCTCTGCTTCTTCAAACATGAGAGGCTTAGCATCTGTGAAAACAGTCTCCCAAACAAACTCTAATTGCTTTGGACGATATTATAACAAGCTTCCACATATGGTGGCATTTATAGTTAGAGAAATGGAAATACCTGTACACTTCTTCACTCAAAAAAGAAGTTAGTTTAACTTAGGTTCATTGTTATTTTCCCCTTAACAATCAGACCAGGGGTGGTATTTACTTCCCTTCCCTTCTGGTTTGCAAATGTGACCGCATGCATACGCTTTTGGCTAAAAAAATGAGGGGTCTAAATAGGATGCCATAGAGCTGGGGTGGGTGGGCAGGGGCCACCTGCAATTTCCACTACCCGTTGAGGTGAACCGGTCTGAACTAGTAGAATACCACCTCTGAATCAGACTATTATCCTGATAACATGAACAAATTCTTTTTAATACCTTGTAATCAACTGCAATTAATTTGTAAAATGATATACTTCTATCAGAGGTGGTATTCAGCAGGTTCTGACCAGTTCTGGAGAACTGGTAGCGGAAATTTTTAGTAGTTCAGAGAGCCAGTAAATACCACCTCTGATAGAAGTATATCATTTTACAAATTAATTGCAGTTGATTACAAGGTATTAAAAAGAATTTGTTCATGTTATCAGGATAATAGTCTGATTCAGAGGTGGTATTCAGCAGGTTCTGACCAGTTCTGGAGAACTGGTAGCGGAAATTTTTAGTAGTTCAGAGAGCCAGTAAATACCACCTCTGAATCAGACTATTATCCTGATAACATGNCTCTTTAAGGGCAGCCCCATGTAGAGCACGTTACAGTAATCCAGTCTTGAGGTCACAAGGGCATGAGTGACTGTCTGTAGGGCCTCCCGGTCCAGGTAGGGTCGCAATTGGTGCACCAGGCGAACCTGGGCAAAGGTCCCAGACAAATGGTGTTCTAAAGTCAGCTGAGGATCCAGGAGGACTCCCAAATTGCGAACCCTCTCTGAGGGGCGTATAATTTCGCCCCCCAGCCTGAGAGGTGGAATAGTTGGCTAATCTTTGGGAGGGAACATCAGAAGCCACTCGGTCTTGTCTGGATTGAGTGCCAACTTGTTTGCTCCCATCCAGACTCTAACAGCCCTCTCTGAGGGGTGAATAATTTCACCCCCCAGGCTAAGAGATGGAATAGCTGGACCAGCATCAATAGTCACTCTGTATGTATGTATGTGCATGCGTGCAAGAAAAGCAGTGCATGTGTATGTGTGTGTATTTATGTGTATGTGTGTATGTATATATATGTATGTATACATACATATACATACATACACATATACATACATACATGCACTGCTTTTCTTTTTTTTGTCATCATCTTCTCTTCCTCCTGCCTTCGAGAACTTATTAAATTTATGGTAAACTTATACTACAGTTGTTAGGACTATTCACTTGGTTTGACAACACACATTTGGTTACAAGTACAACATAAAATAATAAAAGACCATAATGTTGTCAATTTTAATGGGAATATAAAACATCTTGAAGAATAAAACCATGTTTACAAAGTAGTGCAAATAATTTTTATACTATTTCTGTACAATTCATTTTCTTTGCACAGACACAAGCATGTATCATACACATTAGAACCTGGTAAGTCTAAAAATATCTGAGACTTACTATTTAAAAGAAAAAAATTAGTAGTGCTTAAAAGTATGTCATCTCAAGCAAATACTTACTGGATAAAAACATATTTCCTCTTAATAAAAAAACATTAGCCTTTTCATTGATTCTAAGTACTGCTTTAGTCAAATAAGATTTGCTTTTAAAATAAAAGCAAATTTCTGTTTAAAAATGTAATCTCTTTATATAAGTAAAATAGCCCATTGTATATATAACCAGAATGTCAATGCATACGTTATACAAGTATGTATTTTGGAATCTAATGAAAATATTCACATAATCAATATAGAGAACACATAGATAAGTTAAATATTCTATATTATGGGAAACAGTACTAGTGACATAAAATCAACTAATTCACTAATTTAAAAAGAGTGAATTTGTAGAATCAATTTAAAAAGATTCCAATTGGTTTCATTTTTGCTTTGCTAACTAAGAAAGAGGTATAAAATTCTGGATTCAATTGCTTTGATCAGTTATTTAAATTAGATTATTCAAAGGAGGTAGATTATATTTTGAAATAAGTGCCGTACCAAAAAGGCAACTCCAAATTCAGTTGCCAAGAATTATTCTAAACTATAAGGATTGTCCCCAGACTTACATTTTATCATCCTCAATATTCAGAAAATAAACTGTAATATCCTAAAAGTTATTTGTTATTGTTGAGTGTGGAGAGAAACACATATTATATGTATATCGAAGTGTGAGGCACCCATTCTGCTAGGCTGCACATTAAAGTCTATGTACAGTTTACAGTCTACATGCATATTTAATTATTTTTAGCAATAATTTCACTAATATCACAGTTGAAAAGTATCACCTGTTATATCAATTCTTATAAAATGAAGCAATTAGGAAGACAGAGCTACAAAATCACAGACATTTGGTAATATTAAACTAGTTTAGGATTACAAGCTAAACATGGCTGAGAGTATTGCTACCATTACAAGTGAGAGCTGATTAACTATTTCTTCCATCCCTAAATATTTGAATTTATCTTGAGGAAATATATTCTAGATCTATTGCAGATGAAGGGGTGAGACATTATATCAAAAGAAAAAGAAGTATTTTTAGGGGCAGCAATAATTATATTTACTGTGCTATCTAATTTGGACTTTTTCCTGATAATACAAATTTTCTATTACATAGATTTTTTAAAAAATTAAAAATGAGTTTGCTTCTTTATGTTTTTGAATCAAGTTACAGTAAAGATGTACAGTAATTCTGAACCAGTAAAAAGCTATGTTTTTCCTGGTTCTTTAACACAAAGATTTGTAAACTGAAATAGTTAAGCAGCAGAACTATACTGGCCAAAACATAACTATCAGACCATTATCTAACTCAACTGTTTAACGCAAACAGCTTTTAATAGTCAGTCATAAATATTTTAAGTTTCTTGCTTCCAGTAAGATGAACTTCCAAGTTTTCAATATTTCTCTACATTCGTGAAATTAGGTACAACTCTATTTACCAATAGTAGTCAGGTTTTGTCTCCACAACACACATTACTGTGACTGAAACATATTTGAGCAAGATTGTGGTCTAGTAAATGTTGGCTAGTACAAGCAATGGAAATGCCTCTGAGAACTACCAAATCCCAAAGAAGAAACGGAATGCAACCAAAGAAGAAAACGCAAGCGACAATCAACAAATATATAAAACACTGAGAACTGTAAACTGGCGGGGGGCGGGGGATGAAATTATTTGACAATACATATAATTGCAATTGTATATGTACTTGTTTGAAAATAAATGCCATTGAATTCATCAAGATTTATTCCTGAGTCATTATACCTGTTGCAATGCTATCAATTTTATTCTGTTTAAAATGAAACAAAAATGTTCCAAGTGACCACTCATTCAGTGACCCCTAGGATTTGCAACAGTGCTAAATGAGTGGCAGTTACAACCAAGTTGTTTGAAGTTCTGATTACTGCAGTGCCCTTGTGGTCACATGATCACAATCTGGGTGCTCGGCAACTGGCTTGGATTTCTTACTGTTGCAGCATTCTGCAGTCATGTAATCACGATACGCAACCTTCCCTACCAGCTTCTTACAAGCAAAGTCTGTGGAAAAGCCAGGGGGGAACCACCCTCATAAAGTGGCAGAGTCATATGACATTGCCCTTTATGACATCACTTAACAACAAAAATTCCAGTCCTAATACCCCTCATTAAATGAGGACCACTTGAAGTCAGGCTTGTGGTAGTGTATCTACACAAAATCATTTGATACTGAAGTTATTTGCACAAACCAGTTTTAAAATGCAAAATTAGTAAAACTATCACTACAATTTCAATTATAAATTTGGTGCCCCACAATACAAAAAGCATTATTTAAAAAATCCCAGCTTATAGGCTTCATTTTACTTGAGGTGTATGAGTTCAAGATTGTATTGCATTATAGTTCAATTTCAAATAGAATAATTTCAACCTCTTCCATTGTGTTTAATTTGAACATGTGCATTTCCTTTAAATGGAAAAATTAAATTTACATCTCATCCCTTCAGTAAACACTCATGTGTTTGAAGTTCCTCCTCATATCTTGATCAATATTTGTGGCATGGCTTTTAAAAACTAACCTCCAAAACAAACTCAACCATTAAGAAAAAAAAATCTTTATGAAATAAAATAATGATGAAGTTATTCTAAATCTAATTAGTTTTTGCTGAATGGAAGAAGGGCTTGGGGAGAACGCAACAAGTTTACAGCTATACTGATTAAATCAATTATTTCACTCTACTTTTGGGAATATGGGAGGAACTACTTGCCATGAATCTTGAAGAATATTCATGAGTTTTCCAGTATTTAAAGAATAAACCAATATTAAATAAAAAGAACTGTGTACACCCATTACTAATGAAAACCATTATTAAAAAATAAACTAACTTTAAAGAAAAAGAACTGTGTAGACATATCACTAATGAAAAATATTCTTATTAAAACCAGTGATTAACCTGGAATGAGAATTTTTAAGTAGAACTTTAAATACGGACAGTTTACACATCTTTATATACATACAGTATAATATAGAATGACAACAAATATAATTCCTTTAAGAACTGTGCTTTTAAACATATCCCCAATCTTTTTAGAATCCTAAAGGAAACATTAAATGTTTCTTGTTTCTTATCATCTGGCTAAATTAGGTTTACCAGCATATAGATCCCATTTGTAAAACAGCTGATGTCCTGCATCATAGTTTATTCTTTGTCTGACATTGTAAAACAGGAATAGTAAAATAAATTAAGGACACTTTAGGGCAAACTGTCTTCTATGACCTAATCTGATGATGTAGGTGGTGCTTTAACAGGGAGATTCCTTCGGCTGTTGGTCAGTCGCCGTTGTTGAGCAAGGAAAGACTGTGCAGGTGGGTATGACTGACCATCTCTGTAGGCAGTATTCACACGGAGAAGTCTGGATTCCATTCCTAGTTTATGAAATGCTAAACTCTGGAAGAAAATAGAATAAACTACTTAAATCCATGATGCTCTTCATTCAATCTAAAACAAAGCTAATAACTTAGATGGCTGACTACTACTGTATTGCTAAATAATTCATGCATACATTATTTTCTTTTTTCCCTGGCTTATTGAAGAGATATATTTAATATCTGGCATAGTAAACAGGCATTAAACATGCACAGATAATATGCTATACAATTGATCCACAAATTATTCTGGAATAATTTCCAGAAACAGCTCAGTATCACATTTGGAATATGGCTACTGAAAAATGTATGGCAAATATAGATTCTAGCACTGCAGGAATGGACAGTCTATAAAACTCACAAGTTCTGGCATCCAGCCCACTTCAGATCACACCACCACTCTGGCAACAAAATAGGTAGCACATTTTTTGATATTACACACACACACACACACACACACACACACACACCTCTTGCAGGAGACTTAGAGGCCTAAAGACCATTAAGTTGAATGCTCAGTATCTGCTATGGGAGAACAAACAACAATACTGAGGTCAAGAATAGCTGAGAAGATGAATAACATTAAAAATGAAGTAAAATGTTAAGTAAAAATTAATGCTTTTACTTAGGAGGAAGAATTCAAAGAATTCAAAGCCCTCCAGGGCTTCCAGTAGCTTCTTAAAATTTGCTCCATAGGTTAGGAAATCATATTTGGGGACACACATGAGGACTGCAGGATGTGGATTGCAAAATCTGCTACAGGAGGCTGCCTCCATCAGTAGAATATATTTGGATTCCACCTGTTTACTAAAAACGTTTCCATGTGCACAAATACAGTAACCCACCTGGTTATACCATGCAGATACAATTAACTTTTCTTCATGCTCCTGAATCCTGGATGATTTACACTGACCCTAAAATGAATTTGTAAAATTTATAATGTAAGTAGAAGAAATTATATGACATTCAAAGCACAAAATGATTACTATATGTATAATTTTGTAAAAGAACACATAAGCCTAAAAAAAAAGACAAACATTTTACTGCTTTATATTATCTTCAGTAATGAACCCAGATTTTAATCATATTTCTTCTGGCCTAATTTTGCCAATTTCTTATGGCACCTCTTAGTTCATTAGCAGTGTGTCTCAACCTGGGCAACTTTAAAAGATGTGGACTTCAACTCCCAGAATTCCCCAGCCAGCAAAGAAGAAAAACATATTAAAATTGCTTTTAGTTTTACTGTTTAGTTTAATATTTTGTTCTATTGTCGTAAATTCCCTTAAGTGTTCACAGGACCAGATAGCAAGCATGCATGTATTTAATAAATATATAAAAACACAGTTGCCTGATGGTAAAATAGGCAGCATATAAATTGAATGAATAAATAAAATACCTCAAGTGTTTCAATTCTTTTGTCTTTTTCTACCAACTGTTTCCTTAGCAACATTATTTCAGTAGATGCCGGCTTTAATTTGGGATCTAAAGTTTTTATGACCTGCAGAAAGAACATACATTATGGTTTACAATGATTCTTATCTAGTTATAAAATCAACTCAGAAATAACATATGCAACAATTACATCAATCAACTAGACTAAAATTTGCTACTCCAACTGAACAAGCCATTTTTATTAAAAACATTTGGAACAATTTTGTACTGCGACTTCTATTCTTTCTTCCAAAATGTTTTTTCAAACACCTAGTCTAGCCTATAGCTTGTCTATTGATTCTATTTCCTTTAATTTACATCAACAAATTTTCTCTGCTTCTCTTGCTTTTATGGGTTCAGTCTAGCTGAGAAAAAGCTTTCTGATGCCTAGCGTATGTGATGTTTATGACATATTTTGAAGGGATTAAACATTTCTTATTAATCCTTCATCTCAATGGAACACATATAGTGCATATATTCTTTTGATTTAGCAATCAGTGATAGAAGTAAAAATCCAGAGTACAATAGATTTTATTCTATTTCCTTTTTCCAGGATGAGATAAACCTTTCCTGGAAAAGCAAAGTAAGCAAATGTTGGGGGTTGGAGTGTGTTTATTTTGTTTAATTATTTTAGATCACATGGAACAATTGCAAGCCATTTTGCTGTAAGCATCAGGCTTGAAATTGGGAGTGTGAGTTCGAGTCCCGCCTTGGGCATGAAGCCAGCTGAGTGACTGATTCAGTTATTTTTTCTCAGCCCTAGGAAGCGATGGCAAATCATTCCTGAAAAATCTTGCCAAAAAAACTTCAAGGGTTTGTCCAGACAGTCTCCAGGAATCAGACACAATTGAATGGAAGAAAAAAGATTAATTAGACACTGCCACATAATTAACTAAATTAGGAAACTTAAGTATGGAATAGAGAACTAATCTAGCTTTCAAAGAGTAGAAGTGGGAATGGAACAATTTTCCAGTTCAAGGGTTCTTAAATAATTCATTGGTTTATAGAAAATAATACTCACAATTCTTGCTTTTTCTAAATACATCTTATATCTCTCTTCCATTGATTTCATATCTTCATCTTTCTTATGCAAAGCAGCTTCTAATTCTTCTATTTTTTGTGCTATTATTAAAAAAACAATGTAATAATTATTAGAAATAAATATCCAGATCTGGAACAACTGATAACATGTGAATACTGTTAGTTCAGGAGGCCTACATGATCAATAATTAATTGTAATCCATTAAGGTTACATATTGTGATCCCATTAATGCCGATAAAATTTGGATTTTAATAATAGCAATAGCAATAGCAGTAGACTTATATACCGCTTCATAGGCCTTTCAGGCCTCTCTAAGCGGTTTACAGAGAGTCAGCATATTGCCCCCAACAATCTGGGTCCTCATTTTACCCACCTCGGAAGGATGGAAGGCTGAGTCAACCCTGAGCTGGTGAGATTTGAACCGCTGACCTGCTGATCTAGCAGTAGCCTGCAGTGCTGCATTTAACCACTGCGCCACCTGAAGGATCAAAAGGTCCTCATTTTGCCTTATAACCAGCTGCCTTCACTGTAGTATTCAGAAATACAGCTCAAACTTATCATACATACTGCATTTAATAAAATATGATGTTCGAGAACAAAGAAAAAAGGGATATATCCTTCCATTTATATACTTGCAATATTTTACCAATATACTGGGTAGTAAAAGACATTGAATAGAGAAAGTTTAATGTCCTCCAAAATTTATATATGCAATAGCAATAAAGTATACCTGCAGTAAAAAAAAAATATGAAAGGAGTAACAGATCACTTTACCATTTTGATTTAAATCTGGTTGAAGGTCTGCAAGAAGAGCTTCCTTCTTCTGCAGTTCATCATGGACTTCATTTAATTTCTCCCTGAAAGGATATGGCTTTTTTTAATTAAAAGGCAATTTAATTGACTTACTTTATTTTATATTTTAAAAATTGCATGTTACCTTCTCACCTTACAATTATAAGAAACACTAAAACACAGCATCCCATCACAAAACCAATACAATGCTATTAAAAAACAAATGAAGGTCATAACATAGTTAAGAAGCACATAATTATCCCAACAGCTATGAATTCCTGAACAAACCCAGACTCTCCTTCAAGGTTTTGGAGGATGAGTGCATCCTCCAAGGGGAATCCATCATTATTGAGTTACAAGATCAATATGTCTGGGAAGGCAACAGAGAATACCATATAACAGCAAAAAACACATTTGTCCATGATCCCCCACTTTACGTGCATATTTTACTACTAATAAAAGCATCATTTTCTTCCAATTCCACAATGGTGTTACAAACCAGAAAGGGGTTAATTAAACAAGTCTTTTAAAAGACTTTTTTCATGTCTGCTCACATGCATACAAACAAATATGAATGTATCACTTACATATGGGCTGCTATCTTCTGTTTCAATTGACTGGACTGCAAATAATAAATAACAGTGATTAGAAAGTTATTAGATCACATGATATCTCACACACACACACACACACACACACACTCCCCTAACTTTGATCAATCCCACTGCAGAGCAACATTAAAAACAGTGAGTCTTACTTCATTACATAACCGGAACAGACCATGTTTCAGGGTCTTTATTCAATGTCAGATAAAAACAAGGAAAATTATATTCAAGTCTGTATTTTTCCCACATCCTTATTGCCCTGTGATTTTTAGGAATGGCCATGCCTAAACCATTACATTGATTCCTTTTTTGAAATCTTTGAAGTCATTCCTGAACTGATTGCTCTCAACATTAAAATATGTCATGTACTTGTGTTTGTGCTTAAGTAAAATGCATGTTTTAATTGCAATTTACACAAAAGCCACAAATAAATATTTATTTTGAATTTAAGATATTCCACATCCAAAGAATGATTAAAAATGTACGTAAAATTATAAACACATTGTCAACTTGCGAAGCATCCCTGCTCTCTAGGTGCCATACAAAAATTTTGCACCAGCTTAACTACTTGTTAATCAAAGTTGTCAATTCCCACTGAAACCAAGCCTGAATATTCCTTTCTTCAGAAAAAATGAACTGACTGTGCATACTTGTATACTTATATTCCTACATGCATTTTTATGCTAGAATTGGCCAGAGGCCATATTTCAAAAGAACAACTCAGGATCAAAATTTAATCAGCCTTAATATGAATCACTATTAGTCAGAATTACTTCTCTGTAAAATGAAGTATCCCATTAACAAAGTTAACTGATTCTTGTATGCATAGACACAAATAATCTTCTACCTGGAATAAATTATACATGTACTGTCACACAGAGAAAAGTCTCATATAGCAAACACCTGCATATTCTTATTCTGTAATAACTTAAAGTAATTACAGAGTACTTGTAACATTTGTTTTATTATGAAATATAGGTGGTCTTCCACTTCTGATGAAAATTGTGGTTGTAGAGTACAATGTCACATAACTGCATTACTTATCAACGGCAATTCTGCCAGTCCTGATTGCCATGGTTAAGTGAGGACTGCAGAGGTCATGAAAACAGAACCTTTTGGAATTCCAACTTCCTGCTGGCTTCCCCACTGACTTCTCTTGTGGGAAGCCAGCAGGGAATTGCATAAATCGCAATCACTTGACTACAGACACACTGAAGTCACAGTCGCAGTTACAATACAAGGGCCCGCTGTAAATACCATCTGTTCAGTACTGTCATAATTTTGAAGTCACTGAATAAATGGACACAATCCAAGAACTACCTGTATATTCCCATGTCATACCTACCCTTTCTCTTTCTGACTTGGACTCTTGCTCCTGCAAGGACTTCTGAAGGTCTTCAATCTGCTGCTGCAGCTCCCCAAAACGCTCCTTGCTCAGTCTATCATGAAGCATTAAATGTAAGACTATTAATAGAATTCAAGTCTTTAGGCATGAAATCATTGTTCTTGCAAGATTTACATCCATACTCTAGTTGGCAGCAAAAACATCCTAGACTGCCTCTCTGTTGAGGTACTTATCCTTCCTAAATGAATTAAGAGATAATCCTCAGGTTACTGGAATAAATAGAATTGGAATTGCTGTTGCTAAGTAATGCAGTCATAAAGTGCAACATCCTGTGACTGCATTGCTTAGTGACATTCCCAGTTGCTGTTATAACTGTAAGATGAATGAACCTTTAAGCAGAAAGCAGCAGGAATCCCAGGTAAGGACCAAAGGGATGTCTTGGGGGAGGAAAGATGAGGGCTGGTATATGCTGTCCATTAACTGTGGGAGGCCAGAAGGGGTTTTGAGGCCTGGTGCAGACCACATCCAAGTACAAGAAAGAAGCTGCAGGGTAGATACTACGGCACACGTGCAGAAAGCCAAGGGGGCAGGTGGTGCAATGTGATGCAAGCACAGGAAGACCAGGTGGACTTATCAGAGCAACATACAACTTTTTCTGCTGGCTTTCCCATTGATTTTAACTTGTGGGGAGCCAGTCGGAAAAGTCTTAAATAACAGCTATGTAACCATAGGAGACAACCACCATTGGAACTGCAAACTGGTGGCCAAGCAATAGCAATGGCATGACTGCTGGGGCACTGCGACAGTTGGAACTAGTTGTAAGCACAACTCACTCAGTGCCATCACAACTTTGAATGGTTGCTGAATGAATGGTCAGAAAGTAAGGAACACCTGTACTTTGTTATGCAGGAACTGAGAGGAAACCAGAGGGAAGTGCAGCTGAGAGTAGAGATCCACTCAACAAAACTGTCCGGCCCTACGTTTTAAGCAGCTCTCTTCCCCAGTGAATCACAATCTACTTCCTTTTGACAGAGTTCCCTCTTTAGCATTTATAAGCAACTCTAGGAGTAGACTGTGTAGGAAAATCTGCTTTCAATCCAGTTGTACCCATCAGTGTGGAGCCAATCAGTCATTCGTGTGCTTTCTATCGTTCTTCAGTATTTTTCATTCCCCATTCTGTGTCTCTCACCCGTTTTTCGTATTTAGGAAAAAATTAAATACATTTATGTGAAGGAGAATCACCTGTTTTCAGTTTCTAATTCATTTATCATTCGATTTTTTTGTTCCAGTTTCTCTTGAAGCCCTGCAATTTGTTCATTTTCTGATCCTTCTTGTTGCAAATGAAGCATCTTGTTTTCATGCTGAAGCCGGATGAACATGTCTCTGAGATTTAAAATAAAATTTGAAAGCAGACATATTTTGCAAAATACTACATTTTCCTCCAACATTATAAAACAGGATTTGCCGTATATTACAATACAATTGGCAATCTATGTGATATTATACACTAAATTCTGCTTGCAGCCCTAGTAATGTGTTAATTTCATTTCAGCAGAAAGGCCTAAGAAAGCCTCTTAAAAATAGCAAATAGTACATAGATTATAGACTTCTTCCTCAAAAGCAGCCTCTAACCCCATGATGGCGAACCTATGGCACGCAGGCCAGAGGTGGCATGTAGTGCACTCTCTGTAGAGACGTGAGCCGTCAACCCAGCTCAGCTCCACCACGCATGTGCACACACCTCCCACAGGGCAGCTTCAGGTTTTGTAACGCATGCTTGAGGGGGCACATGTGGAAGGCGTACGTATGTGTGTGTGGGGAGGGAGGGCAACTGCATGGGGGTCACGTGCATATTGTATTTTGAGGGTTTGGGCGTATGCATGCATGCCCTCATATACACATATGATCCTCTGGATGGGATCTTACCAGCAAACAAAACTATAAAGCTATATAATGAAATCTGTAAAAATCCAGTTTCATTTGTAACCAGAGATACAGGCTTATGTTTATCGCTGTATTTATTATATTGATTCTTTTTAATTGAGAGTATAGATTTTTTTCTAAATTGATTCAAATTAGAAATCCCCGATTTCCAATATTTAGGGTTTTATCTTTATAAGAATATGGGATTTCTCTATTGTCTAATATTGTATATTACATACATCACATTACAAATAAGATTCACAATTCATTTTACATGCGTTTATCTCTGTTACCTAAATTCCACAGGCAGAATTTCAGCAGCAAGATTTTCATGGCTTTTCATAGTAGATGCACCTGATAGTATAAAACAAAATCATAAGGCTAATTTCCATGGAGTCTAAGCAAAAATTATCCTAAATATTTTTATTTTTTTTGAAGTACCTGTTTGGTTCATATGATCCTGCTGCATTTGTGAATACCTGAGCTCTTCATTGGTCTCTTTCAATGCATCACGCTGAATTATCAATCTCTGAAAATAAAAAGTGATTTGATAATGGTAGATGCATATCTAAATACGTGTGTTAATATTGTATGAGAGCTTTAATTGCTTCTCCACCTGAAAATGACATCCCAGAATAGCTGTTAATAACAGAACATGATTCTGTTATAGCACACAGAACATCATTCTCAAAAAGAATAAACCAGTTTTCATAATGGGCAGTAACATCTATGATGGCCTAAAACAGGCCTGTTAATCTGACGGCCCATGGGTTGATTACGGCCCGCGGAGGTCACGCCCAGCCCGTCTCCACAAAGGCAAAAAATGTTGTAATACTTCATGTCCCAACCTGCAACGTGATCAAGTTTGATACCCCCAGCCTAAAACAACTTATCATTTACATTGCAGTTTTTCTGAGACTCAACATTCTAAGTAACCCACTTCTTCTGCACCATCCACATAGATATCCTGACTACCCAATATTTTGAAAACTGTATTTCCACCACATTAGTAGAAACCTCACCTCTTTCTCTTTAATTAATGTTTCGTGCTTCTCTTCCAATTGTTTCATTTCAAAAGCTAGTGCATCTGCTCTTTTGGATTCTTCAGAGAGCTTGTTATGAACTTCCTGGCTCTGGTTTAAAAAGAAAATCAATTAATGTTTCAGAACTTGGTAATTTGAAATGAATTCTTCTGTAATATTGGATTTCATTATCTTCATGAGAACCGGTGATCTTTTCACCATTAGCTGGAAATCAATTTTTCCCCAGTTAAATGGAATATATTCGCTACAAGTAGTCTTTGGCTTACAACAGTTCATTTAGTGACTATCCAATGTTACTACGGCACTGAAAAGAGTGACTTATGACCATTTTTCACACTTGCAACCATTGCAACATCCACATAGTCACATGAACAAAATTTGGATGCTTGACAACTGGTTCATATTTATGACCGTTGCTGTGTCCCAAGGTCATGTGATCACTTTTTGCGACCTTCTGACAGGCAAAGTCCATGGGGAAGCCAGATTAATAACCAAGTTATAACTTAACAATGTCAGTGATTCACTGTGGCAAGATAGGCTGTAAAATGGGGCAAAATTCACTTAACAAATATCCCTGTTTAGCAACAGAAATTTTGGGCTCAAAAACTGTTTGTAAGCCAAAGACTACCTGTACTTGATTGTTCTCCTGAAGCATTTCATTTTAGCATACATCATTTAATGCTTAGAAATTCAAGTCATCAGATTCAATTAATAGAACATAGGTCTTATAGAATTATGGCATAGTTTTCATGATTCTACTTTTAATCCAACTAACTGCACAGTTGAAGACATGCCAGTGTTACTGATAACGCTAAATCTACCAGTAAGGCTATCTTACTCATTTCAAACAAAATAAAAGTGAAGTGCTGTTGATATAAACAATAAAAATGTTTGCAAGGACAAGTTAAGGAGGAAGTCACTTTTCATTCTCAGCTTTTTTAGACCTAAAAGTGAAGACTTTTATTCGACTGAAATAGTACTAAGGAAACACAAAAATTCAAACAAGAGGAAATGAAACATTTCTTACCTGCCTTTTGTAAGTTTCCAACTGTGAACGGGCTGCATTTGCTTTCTTTAATTCTTCTTCTAGGCTAACTGTGTTATGCATATACATCATATTTGTTTCCTGAAGTATTTTCACCTGTCTCCGAAAGTCATTCAAATCTTCCAACTTTTTGCGATACACCTCAACCGTCGACTCCAGTTTATTTGTTTTATCAGCAACAGTCCTATAATAACAACATATTCAGTTATTTCAAAAGCATGCTTGAGCCATTACCAGACAATAAAATGCAAATACTTACTTAAGAGAAAAGTAAGATCTTATTTATTAAATATTTTCTCTCAGGTTCAAATTGCCGGCGTGATAAACTAAACAGAAAATAGGACTTTTCAGTTCTATATAATTAAAACTGGAACATCAACTGCAGTCATGAATGACTTCCTACTTTTACTAGGCAATCCATGGTACTTCAGGGTAGGCTTTCCTTTTGAATCAAAGGTCTTCTAGCATGGTCAGTTTGAAGGAGGAAAGCCTAAAATAGTCACAGGTCCCGCAGAGAGATCTCATACATTTCAAGAGGCTATCATGAGGGAATATAGAAATACTATGAAAGCTAAAATGCAGCAACACCCAACTGAAATTAGAAGGTTTGTTTAGCAGAGTTAAAATATTCCTTCAATACTTAATTCAAAATTAGTATCTTAGCTAGAGATTGAATGATGACCTTGGTGTATTATTTTATACAACAAATGCTACTAGTTATAAGACATGCAAATAAAAGTAATTTGCAATTTCCATATAAAATATTTGTTATTCTAGAACAATTTTAAGGATTACTTATAAGAACCTATAAGAGAACAAAGTATATTGAGAATATAAAATAAAAACTTTTAAGCGTTGGAAACACAAGGCTTATTTTACTTGCTGTATTGTTTAGGAAAAAGAACCAAATACCTAGGAAAAAATTGAATAGGGAGCAAACGAACAAAAACAAAGACAGTCAGAATTTAACAGTTTGCTGCCAAATTTCAGTGGCAGAATCTTGGGTGTTCTGAATGTTGCAAAAAAAGGAAGGAAATCTTAATTTATTATATTATGTCATAATGAAAGCTCTTCCATACTTCACTTAAGTTGATGCATCCCAAACATGTTAGTCTGCCTCCCTTGAAATTCATATCCACTATGCCCTAGTAACCATGAATCCTGAGATGAGAGTATCTGGAAGGCTTTGAGTTGGGCAATAGTCTCCAATTTTGCGAATGTCAGTACTATAAAACACACTATACCCACTTTCTCCTGTAATTAATGCCATTTCTGTAATGACCTCATTGCACCAATGATATAATTTTAAGTAAATGACAATAGCATTTGCAAATAATCCTCTCAATTAAACTATTAAAAACAAGTTTCGCTGCAAAGGGAAACAATATACAATGTATTATTTTGGTCTAGTGGTTAAGGCAACAGGCCAAAAGCCAGGAGACTATGAGTTCTAGTCCTGCATTAGGCATGAAAAGTGGCTGGGTGACTTGGGCCAGAAGCTCTCTCTCAGGAAAGACAGAAAATAAAAATAACAACTGATGGATCTCCTTTTACCGGTCCACAATAGGAAGCTTCCTCACTTATTGCATCACGGAATGGCATGCTGGTTTCACAGCCATGGATAGAAAAACATTACAGAGGGTGGTGAGCACAGCACAAAATATCATGGGCTGTCCAGATTCCACTAGATGAGATCACTAGGGCTTATTGCCTTAGAAGAGTGAGGAAAATTCTCAGGGACACTCACACCCTGGACAGCACTTCTTTACCCTCCTACCATCATGAAGGAGATATAGAAGTATAGCCAGCCGCAAAACAGGCTGAAGAACAATTTATCCGTTGGCTGTCAGACTCCTCTATGCGAAATAACATCCGTAGGATGGACTTGCAGGGGCGGTGCAACGTGTAACATGTTCATACTGGTACAATAGGACTGGATGTCTGTTGATATGGTTTATTGGGTTAGGGATTTTCTGTCTTCACTGCGAGTTGTATTGTGTTGGGGATATGTGCACTGAGGGAGCTCAATCAATCTCATTGTACATATGGTGTGCACTGACAAATAAATAATTATAATGAATGAAGGAAGGAATGAATGAATGTGGGAGAAGGGCAGCAGCTGAAAGAGTTTGGTATATTCTTTGGGAACTCCAAGATGATAGAATACTGCATATTAAAGAGATAAGTAACATAGGGGACTGGATTTATTCAGTATACCTAAGAACATCAATTTCATCCTTCAGAGCCCGGGACTCTTCTGCCAGAGACGTCAGTTCATCATTTCGATGTTGCAGCTCAATCAATTGTTTTTCAAGTTCTTCACAATGAACACGGTAATCGTCTTTTGTAGTTTCAAGCCTTTGCAAAAACAAAATTAATAGAAAGGGATTTACTATCAACTCCCTTAGTATGAAACATTATGGTATCATTCATAAAAGTATATGGAAAAGTTTTAGCACAGAAATTTGTATAATTTCTCGTATGCAGGCATATTGGGGGCAAATGAAATGTAATCTTAAAATTGTAGCTTCTATGTCAGTTTTTACGTCATAGTGTTACCAATAAAGAGAAAGACCGTAAACTGCATTATTAAAAATTAAACATCTATTCTAGAGCAATGAATTTCAACCTTTATAAAACATAAAGCAAACTCAGAATTGGCCCCATAATACAAATTTAGGATATGTAACTACTCAGTAATGACACATTACTCCCATGCTCTGTGGAACAGTCTCCACCTCCCTAAGATCTGGAAGGCACCCATCCTTCTAGTTTTCCAAAAGTTCTTTAAAAGCTGGATTTTCCCCCTGGCATTGAGACATGTTAAGGCTGGAGTCCAAAGATTGTATTCTTGTTTTAAAATATATCTGGGGTTGTGTTTTAGGGAACCCAAAATTGCAAAGGGGGTGGGATGTTGAGTGGGGGGGGGGATATATAGGTATTATTATTTGTTATATTCTTGTCACTGCTTCTGTAAGTTGCCCAAAGTTATGGCAAATAAGATAGGTGATCAGGTAAATTTTTAAAATAAAATTGAAGGTTATAGATCTTAATCATATAGTAATGCAAAATTATGTACATAGTGTCATTAAGATAGAATGAGGTAAGCAAAGGCCCAAAATAAAAGATTACAATAATAAAAAGCAGTATATTACACAAGTGTTGTGACTCAGCAGATTTCTGCTGTGAGTTTTTTCGGGATCAAGATTCATTATGCAGTTGGGAGTGGTTAGAAGCAAGTTTGGAGATAAAAGGACGGATGCTGCCACGCCCTAGTCATTGGAGTCATACGTTCCTTCGTGCGTGCCTTGGTTTGTACAACATTGTTTGATCATCAGTCGTGGTTTATGTAAGATTCACTTGGATAAGTGCTCTGTATGTCTGTAACCCTGATTCATAGAGACTTTGGGAAGAAGTGTTTTGCTTTCGTTTTGTTCAAAATGAGTTGCCATAAGAAAGATTTGTTTTCATTACGTTATCTGGTCAAAGACTTGTATTTATGTTATTTTTGGGCTCGAAGCCAGTTTGAACTGTGAACTGATAAAGAAAGGCTTCCTTTTAAGTTGCCTGCCTGCGTTTGTTAAGAGCCGTGAGGAGGGGACAGAACACACATGTATTATACTACAGTAGGGGGAAAAAGATGAAATGAATGTAACATCTCATCAATGAGATCTAGTACTGGTAAAAGAGCAAATAATTAATAAACTAGTTTGGGAATGACTTGAGAAAAGCCTCAATGCTTAACCTAATGCTTGAGAATAAAATAGAAAAAGCTTTCTAGGGGACTAAAACTGCAAACTCCGGGCTTTTGTACCAGGGGAGAGGAAATTGACCCCTTGTTGATTTCTGACAGTTACTCAAGATTGCTCATTAAATAAATCAACAACTAAAAATGCTAGGTCGCTACAGATATGGGTTATGACATTAAGGGGTTATACTGCCCTTTTTCTGTAATAAGTCAATTATATAAGATTTGTCTTGGCACTCTCTGAGGGTAGAACCTTGTACTTCATCCCTTGCATAGATCAATAAATGCAGCTCAAGCAGATCGTATGGACTCTACTCAACCGGGAGATAGTATTAGTTAAAAGAATGCTCACATAATAGTCAGTAGGAACAATCCAATGTTTTACACATGTTCATAGTATCATTCCAACATATGGGATGGACTATATTAGTTTTGTAATGATCTCTCTGGAAATTGCACCTACAGAATATGTGCAATCACTGAAGAAAACAATATGAATCTCTCTGGGATACAGATAGATGGGCAAGGCCTTTTCAGGAAATAGTCATAAATGAACAGAATAATATAAGAGAAGGCTGGCCTCTGACAACTCGAAGCCTAATAGACCCATAGCAAGTACTGCAAAAGCTACAATAAATATCTCAGAAATATGTAACATAGTCAGAATAAAAAATGGGGAATGTACAAAGGCTATACTGTAGTTTTTTGCATCAAGCAGCACTTCAGAAATATTTTCTATTTTGTTTCAGTAAACAACTCAAGATACAACCGTGATAGATAAAATAGCTCAGTTACATTAATTCATACCTGAAATTTTCTTCTTGTAACTGTTCTATTTGTAACTGTGCATGAAAATACTTTTTGGCAACTGCTGTGTTTGTATCATCAAATGAACCATCTAACTGATCCAATCGGTCATTCATTATTTCATTTTCAGACATTAAACTGCATTTTTCTTCTTGAAGGGCAGCCACCTAAAGATCAAAAATCCACTTCAGAATTATAAAGTCACGAAGATCATTGACATTCAAATATTGGCACAAGGGATTTTATCTCAGAAAAAGAATTAACCCCCAGTCAAATTATCTGCTTCCTAAATTAAAGTGTGCATACATACACACAGATTAGCAGATAAGCACAAAAGTGATTGCATTAATGTACAATATACAACTAAATAACATCATGTCCAATTCTTGTTATTTCAGTCTATGTATTTTTCTTGCACTTCTCTCTGTGAATCCACATATAGAACCATCAGCTGCACATCTATCCTCTATCTGCAGCACTTCCGTTCTAAATCAGCAACATCTTAGGACTTATACAATCAAGGTTATCAGTCACAGTAACAAAGCAGAATCAATATGGAAACATTCTCCAGATTATTATACGCAGTGGCGAATAAGGGGAAAACTTCAAAACAGTTTTAAATGATATAAGAGCTGAGCCAAGTAGATTCTGGAATGATCCAGCAAGACATCTTTCCTTCATCTGACATAAGAACACAAGAACTGTCTTGTTGAATCAGATCAAAATCCATTCAGATAAAATTTCCACATTTCTGGAAGCAGAAAAGGGATTAAAAGGGAAAGCATAATTAGAATGTAGAAAAATATTGGTCAGTTTATAAACTGAAGACACAAAAGCAGAGTACTGAGAAATATAATATTTAGTAGTGAATAGTTGTGTAAAAAGCAATTCCAAGAGCCAAAACAAGTAGCATTATGTAAAATTTAGACAGCATCACATCTATAGATCAATGGATAAAAAGATTCATGCATTTTGCAAATATTTCTGAAAATATCACAAGCTAGAAAGCAAGAGCATAACAATACTGTAAGTATATTAACAAACAAAGAAGGATTCTCATATTAACAAAACAGCCCTTAAGTATCTTTTGTGGTGAAAGCCACTATGTTAATTGTAATACAGCAAAACATCACAGAATATTACAAGTTAGTTCACTGATACTTAAAATGCAAAGTACTCTTTGGGTTATGTCTTCCTGAAATAAATATAAACCTACCTTTCTTAAATTCTTGTAAAATATCATGGGACACAGAGACCTTACAAATGAATTTATTAACAATTAGATTAAGCAAGAAGTATGTATATTTTGACTTTCAAATAAATACTCATATTCAATATTGCGCAGTGGTATTAAATTATATTGTCAAATGACATTTCAGATTTCCTAAGCTGTAAAAATGAACTGCAATCAATTTTAGGTCTGAATACAAATTCAGAATCATTATATTAATTTATATTAATAACTGTTGTCAGGGACAAGTATTATAGCTTACAATAGATTTATAATTTAAATATTTTTCAAAGTATCCTAAACATTATATATTAAACCTATAGATGAAAAAGCTACAAAATATTATTTCTTAAATCTGCAATAAAACACATTCAAAATAACAGTGAAAGACTGTGGACATTAATTTTATAGAAAAAAGTGCCTAAGTACTAAAAATAACATGAATATCATAACTAATATAAACTATAGGAAAACAAAACATCACAGAGTTTAATCATGGCACAGTAGAAGATTTTTTTTTAAGACAATCTGATATAAGGCATTTAAGGTAAATATTAATCGATTACATTTTCTTTAATGAAATGGACTTGGAAAAATGTGGTTACCTGCAAATCTAGTTCTTGACATCTTTGCTTCAATTCTTCTTTTTCTGCTATGACTTCATTAAGTTCTTCCACTGCTCTTTTCAGCTTTAAAAACATTGAGATGATCATTTTCAAACATTTAGAAAAACAAATTTCTAAAGTAAATGTGAAATTTACTTACAGGTATTCGAGGTGAGGGGAAGAATGTTGGTTAAGTAGAAGGCAAGTTGGTAATGATCATACCTTCTAAATCAGTGATGGCTAACCTTTTTTTGCTCGGGTGCCAAAAGTGCGTGCTCACACCCATAATTCAATCTCCCACATGCCATCCCCATGCATGCGCGTGCGACCCCCATGCTGCCCCCCTGCATATACGCACGGCACACACACCCCGCCCCGTTTTGGGCCTAGCAAGCCTCAGTGAAGCCTCCAGAGACCAGAAACGGACCATAGGTAGGCCCAGTAGGTGCGTTTTCCGTCCTCCCCAGGCTTCAGAGGCTTTCCTGAAGCCTGGGGGGAGCGAAAACTGCCTCCCCCAGCCCCCCGGAGGTCCTCCAAAAGCCAGAAACGTCTCATTTCTGAACTCCCAATAAGCCCATTTTTCACCCTACCCAAGCTTCAGACGCTTTCCTGAAGCCTGGGAAGGGCATAAATGGCCTCTCCCGGCCCTACAGGGGCCTCTTGAAGGCCAAAAATCAGCTGGCTGGCGCGTGCATGTGTGCTGCATCTGACCTAGGGCAACGGCTCGCATGCCCTCAGACATGGCTCTGCGTGCCACCTATAGGTTTGCCATCACAATTCTAGATAATCAAACCTGTCTCTGTCATACTTTCTTGGTCCTTGGAACCTCTTTCTTATGATCTTTTTGTTCTTTAAAATGATCAAAATATTACTATCTCTCCAAAATGTACTTCTGTTATTAACACCAGCAAAACCTATTTTGATTTTTAAATGCTTTTCTTGTTCTCCTATTTTTATCTTTAAAGAAGATAGGACAGCACTCTAGATTAATAGTTAAACAAAGAAGTAAAATAATGTTTATATAAGAATGCAAATAGTTTATAAAATATATAAACTAGTTTTTTATATAATACATCTATATTCCGTCAAATACTTATCCTACAGAGCTACTAAATATATTTCTAAACCTGTGTTGCTGCAAGATGGAGATTTAGGACTCCCAGCTTCTCTCTGACCTATCTTTCCACCTCACTGCCCCTTCTCTCCTTGTTCCCCCTTCTCTCTGAAATATAAGGTGGGACAAGGCATTGTCATACTGAGATTTGCAGTCACTGCAGTCTCCTATGAAGATATTAACTTAAAATCAACTTATTCCCTTAACAAATACAGTTGCTCTTATTTTTCTTCCTCTCTCTCTCACTGCTGAGCAATCAAACAGAATGTATTGTAATAGATTGAAAAAAACCTAGGTGATCTGTATTACAAAACAGAATGTTTCTTCCAGTACTCAAGTCCTATGAGGTTTTGTAGCAACCCAGAAATGAAACAGTAGACACAGTTAAATTCATTAACTAAACTTTCATCAGAAATTACAGGAAAAGATTACTAAAACTGAAAAGATAGTGTTATCAGTTACCTGTTGCTCCACATCACCAGATATATCACTTGGAACAAAGCCCAAAATCTCTTTGCTCATTAACTGCAACAATAAAAAATTAAGGCAAAAATGCATAATTATCCATGGTCTAAAACAGGGTCATAAGAGTGAGAGATAGTGTTAAAAGATTAGCTGATATTATTTTCTTTTAAATATATGAAATAATCCACATTCCGTACACATTTCACTTTTTTTTCATACATGGCTTTTCCCTCCCAACTTGATTATACATAACATTACATAATTTAAACTAACATGATATGTACATATGAAAGACTAGAAACTAAATATTTGAGAAAGAATACTAGTTGCCTTATTTCTACTGCAACACTAGGTAACTCCAGCCCCCTCCTTTTTTTTGAAAAAGGAATCAATTCCAATTTTTCTGTTAACTCTTTTTTTCTTACCTCTTGGATAGCAGCCATGACGACGTGCTGAACAGACTCCTCTAGTGTCATTATGACTTGTATATGTTCTACAAAGCAAGAGTTGTTTCCAAATGAGATATCCCACACAACAAATAAAGACCCAGGACATGTTACACATAAATGGAGAGTCTTGTCTTCAGTTCATTTCTGAAGTCCTCTCTGTAGTTGAATCTTGCCTTCTGTGGTTCTGTATTACTGTAATCGACTGAAGATCTTAAACAACATACTTTGCATTGCAGCCAATAATATCCATGTGCTGATGGACGGTATCTGCCAATTGGATAGAATTCTGCTTCCTGATAGGAGAGGGGAGCGCATCAACCAGAAAGACACTGCTGTAAAGTTATACTAAACCATACATTGGTATGGCATGCTAATGCAGCTAAGATTAGCTGGGCTTTTGTTTCTAAACGGGCTTAGTTAATTTTCAAAAGGAATTCACTTTCCAAGAATACATGAAGGATTGCAGTGGGTGTGACTGGACAACATGGCTGTAATCATAAATGTGCAAGCACATCATCTCCCCAAATACTTCAAGTGCAAGCTATCAATCACTTAAATACAGTACTAATGCTTTTCTTGTTGGAATGAACCAGAAGGGGTTTGTTTTGTTTTCCTTGCCTGGCTTTCTCTTGCTTGGGCAAAGATTAGGTGGCAATGCATCTTAAAAATATTAACCAGAATTTCCACATTAACAATGTATTTATTTTGCTTCATGTATTACATGCTTTCCAAAAACATGCTTGAGATCACCTTTCAAGCCTAAATATCTAAATATTTAAAAAGTGTAAATGCTACATTTTTTAAAACTTTGCTTCACCCAGAAATGAAAGAGTTAACATTTCGGTTTTGCTGACATAAAAGACAAATTGAGCTGTTTATTCAGAGGAGAATATTTACCTTGCTTCTTTTCACAGTTGACTGCACAGCCTAAAATGAGCTGCAATAATCTGCCAAGCTCTACTGGATTAGAATGTTCAGAGATTTGGTTTAAATCAGGAAGAAGATCTTCTGAGATTTGCTGAGTCAAAAACTGTAGAATTTTTTTAAAAAAGAAGCCCAGAGTTATAATGAAATGTAGGGGTTTGTTGTTGTTGAATTTATATCCCAGCTTTCCTCCTCTGAGGATTTATACCACATGCAGTTATTTTTTCCCCTTTTACAGCAATTACCCTGTCAGGACAGGTTGATTCAAGAGATTGTGCCTTTCCCAAAGTCACCCACAGAGCCTCAATATCTGATAGACTGAGACTCCTTGGTCCTATTTCAACTCTTTACTCAATATATCTCCCTGAAGAAATAAACTGAGTTGGAAGGAGAGTAAACCTTAGTTTTTAGGATTTCTTTTTTAAATTAGAGGGCATTTCTTCATTCATGTTTATACCTTACATGAATGTTACATTTACTGAAATTCGCCAGGAATCAGTACTGCAACTGAACTTTAAAAAAAAAAACACTGAATACTGATCATTATAGCATAGCACCTAAAGTTGGAACAGATGGGAAAACAAAAATACTTTCTAAAATATTTTCCTTTTCAAATAAATGCATTTGCTTATAAAGTGTTCATGGAATAAAGTACTAGTAATAGAACATCAAAGTTAAATTCATCCACATAGATTTTACATGCATACTAGACATGAAAATAATAGATTAAAATATTCTGTAAACTGAGATTTATAACTAAAATTATAAAGAAGAAATTGCATATTTTACAAATTGTTATGGTTTTTCATACCTCATGATAATAATCCATAATTCCTTGAAGAACTTTCTTCAAATTGCTAGCCTAAAATATTTAAAATGACAATTGAGTGAAAATACACTATTTTCATATATTTGAAAGTTATAATTAACTGAAATGCAGTCTTTACTCAACAAATTTACCTCCTACAAATATAATCACATTAGTTGCACATACCATACCAAATGCAATATACTACTTAAAATACCACATTCTAACAAAATTCACCTCTGCCAAAAGAAAACTTAGCTTTACGGATGTGATAAATCCAAGCAGAGGGAATAAAACCAAAGTAAAAACCAAAATGTAACACAATGCTTTCATAGAGCAAGCAGATGCTTAGCCCTAAAAATTTTTTATCTGCTTTAGAATGGAAAACCTTATTTGATTTATTAGGGAAAATATTGAATTGTTTTCTATTTTGTTAAAACTTTCAAATTAAAAAATTCTATGATCTATGGTGTCTTTTTCTCATCTCTTTATTTCTCCCTCAAGCTTGCCTTTCACAAGATGTATAGGAGGTAAAACTATGATGGAAAATTAATGTTAGGTGAAGCCATCTAAGTCACCCTTCAAATAAAATGCTTGCCCAATGTCAATCAGGTATTGGTCCCCTGGATGGGTTGAATTCGTTGATATATTGCAGTCAGGGTTCAAGGAAACCTTTGCTATATTTTGTAAAAGGATTTTATATGCTGTTTATAATTGGTGTTTACTATAAACAGCCCATTTATACTAAACAATGTAAATTTATGTACCCAAATGTGAACATAAAACAGAATTCAATAAAAAAAGAAGCAAAATAGCTTTGAATGTACTAGCATGTCTTATATTATCACATAACACAGACTAAAAAGCTGCTTGATTATTTTCATCTATTTTCCATGTATTTTGGTGTGCTGAAAACAAATAAAATATTGAAAAAACTCCTAGATGTCATTATTTTCCACAATATGNAAAATTCTCATTAAAAAAAAAGAACTGCTTCCCCAACACCATGGCTGCAGCAGGGCCCCCAACCTACCTGGGTTCCTTGCCCCCTGCCAGCCTGGTGGACTGGAGCTGTGCTGTCAGGCTGGGCCCTGATGGCCAAAGAAAAGGGAGGGAGCCCAACTCTTCCACCGCCAGTGGCAGAGTAGCCCGGTAACCAGTGGCTGCCAGACCAGTGCTAGTAAGCCCACTCCCCCCACCCCATAAAAATACAGCTGAAAAGTAAAGCTTGTCTGCCATCAGCCTGGCCTGTCAAGGTGGAACTAAATCAAGATCTAGAAGATGATCGCTGCCGCCAGGAGGCCAGCACAGCCTTGCTCTGCTCTTTCCCCACAACCTCTGAGGGCCCAGGCTTGGCATGCGGGGTGCAGAGCGGCAGCCTTTTCGGCTTCCCCTCTGTGCCTTGCAGCTGGTCCCAAGCGCAGCTGTGTGGTGAGCCCAGGTTTGCAGCTGCAGCTGCCTGCTGTTGCAGCACCCCCATGATGCCAGCCTGAGCCCTCGGAAAGCAATGACACCACTCTAAAAAATGGGAGTTCCTTTTAGACTTGGGCAGGCAGGGCATTCAAGAGTTTGGTGGGCTCTGCTTCCTGCTAGTCTCCTCTCGGGAGCCCCAGAGAACCAGTCTGCCATCTTCTACATTGCAGCTCATCTAATGAGCCTTATCTGCTCGCCCATAAATTTATGATGCTGTTACTTATTTAAAATAAGAATGTGCCATCCATCATGAAAAACACCTCCAGGTGGTGTACAACATTGAAGTATCTTTTTAATAATAGAGAATATAATAAACCATCCATTAGAAAAAGAACATGAAAGAAACAGTGACCAAGAGTCGTAGAGCCATACCACTCAGAGACACTCATTGCCAAGGAAGACACGACGGTGTCTGTCAGAAATTCCCTGCAGCCTTTTTGTTATTCTTACCATCCTTGTCTGTCTGTGTTGCAGAGGATCAAAGTCTTGTTAAAAAGAGGCCTCTATTCCTTCCTCTCATGCAATGGTCCTTTGACCTGGACCTGGATCCTACATACTTAGACTTCCAGACCTTAAAACTGGAAGGGGACCACGAGACCATCCAGTCCAACCCCCTTCTCAGCATAGGAATCCAAGTTCAAGCATGACCCTCCAGCCTTCGCTGGAACACCTCCCCCAGTGAAGGGAAGAAGAACTGCCAGAAAGCGGTTGGGATCTCACTTTCTCCCTCAAATCCATTATTTCATACCCTGCTTGGAGGTTCCACACAAGATGCCACTGAGGTCAGACTTTTTCCTGAGGTCAGGAAACTGAGGTTTGCAAGGGCCCATCGGATATCCACTTCATAGAGTTATGAGTTTTGGTTCTTCGCTTTTTTAAAAAATTGCATTTCGTTTAAACCTAATTTATGTAGCGCTATTTGCGCTTCATTCAATTTCATTCAACTTTGTTTTTCCCCTATAAACCAGATTCTGAATATTTTAATATAATTTTATTGATTTTCAAAAAAAAATGAGATTAAAAGATAAATGAGCAACAATATTCTGTAAGCCAGCCAGAGTTCCTTTTCTATTGTTCAGATTCAAAGTCTTATTTCTTATTATTCAAAATCATATTATAACCAATAAGATTCAGTTCAGTGGTGAGAAAAATATAGGCAAGAAAAACCAAATACAGGAATAGAACAGGCTAAACAGCAGTAATTGTGAGAGGGATCTAAGATTCCTAGTCAGTGGATCACTGCTTAAGTAGAAGCCAGCAGTGTGTTGCAGCCACCAAGAAAGCCAATGCAGTCCTAGGCTGCATCCACAGAGGGTTAGTATCAAGATGATAGGAAGTGATAATATTACTCTTTCCATCTCAGAGTTTTGAAGGAGCTGGCAGATCTCAGAAACATTAAATCATATATTTCAAAGTTCTTGGAGCATCAGGTAATTTCTAGAGGACTGGAAAAGAGCTGATGTGGTTCCCATCTTCAAAAAAAGGAGGGGGAAACAGATCCAGGAAACTACAGACTGATCAGCATGACATCAATACCAGGGAAGATCTTGGAAAAGATAAATGTGGGCTAAGCAGCATCCCCACCACATGAATTTGTGACTGGCCGACAAACCATACTCAATGTGTAGTCATTAATCATGTGAAGTATTAATACCGCTTTATAAAGTCGTAATAAAGCCACACTTAGAACACTGCAGCCAGTTTTGGTCACCATATTATAAAAAATATATTGAGTCTCTGGAAAGAGTGCAGAAAAGAGCACAACAATGATTAGGGGCTGGAGACTAAAACATACTGTATGAAGAATGGTTGCAGGAATTGGGTACATCTAATCTGGTGAAAATAAGGGACTAGGGGAGACATGATGACAGTCTTCCAGTATTTGAGGGGCTGTCCCAAAGAAATGAGGGTCAACCTATTATCCAAAGCACCAGAAGTAAAGAAACAATGTATAGAAACTAATCAAGGAGAGAAGCAACCTAGAACTAAGGAGAAACTTCCTGACAGTGAGAACAACTAATCATTGCTTGCCTTCAGAAGTTGTGGGTGCTCCATCACTGGAGGTTTTTAAGAAGAGGCTGGACAGCCATTTGTCTGAAATGGTATAGATTCCCTGCCTGAGCAGGGGGGTGAATTAGAAAACCTAATCCAACCCCCTCCAAGGTCCCTTCCAGCTCTATTCTGTTACTCTGATAATTGCTTATCTCAATGACTCACCTGACAGTAGCAGGATTCAGTCCACGTTTGCTGCTGTGACATGAGGCAGAACTAAAATAGGACCTGTCACTTCTGAGGAGCTGCCTTTCAGCTAAGAGAAGGTTCTCCGGGTGGCATTTTCACTGCCGTTGCCACTTCAGATGCAATGTGGGAGAAAGCGCCCCTCCCCGCAGCTGCCTTGCTCAGCGTCTCCCAAGAAGCTGTACAGCAAAATGACATTCATCTGCTTGGACAGCTTCTAAAAGCAGCTCTTGCTAATGTGGAAATGAGACTCCCACTCAGCAGAGTTCACGTTTTCTCTGCTGGGGAAGGGGAGGGGGCAAAAGAGGGAGGGAAAGGGAGCCATTCTTGGATCCATGTCAAATGTTGGGGATACATTGAATGCGTGTTAGCAGCAGGTTCCAGTCAGAGCCTTCCCGAGGGTAGAAGAAAATCTCTCATAGAAATACGCAACGTCAAATATACAGCTCGCTTCTTTAAAGCACAACAGCTAATGCGATCAAAAGGAGGGTGCAGAATCTCCGCACAAGGCAGGCAGGCATGCTTCTGAGATGCCACCCGCAGTCACAGATTGCTGCTTTGCACAGCGGAATGGGTGGTTCTGAGGACGATCACATTCCCCCCCCTCTCCAATGGCCACCAGGGGCCACTGAGGAGGGAGGAGGAGGGAGGGGTAGCAGTTGTAGGACACCCTCAATTCCAATGGTCCCCTGGTCTTTTCTGCCTGACAGACGACTATATTCCCCCTCTGCCCATAGACCCTCGGCCTTACAGAAGGAACCCCCATTGGGTGTTGGCCCAGAGAGGAGGCCCAAGAGGAGAGCCCAGCCTAGAGCAGAGGCTACAAGCCTTGGGGATGAGTTCCGGAGGGGTTCAACTCCCATGTTTTTGAAGAGCCGAATCGGTTTAGAAAAAAAACAGCCAGTTGCAGCCGTGGACAGCAGCCCCAGGTTTCAGGCAGAGCTACCAGTGGCCACCTGGTTGAATCTCACCCTGGTTTCTCCTCCGGAGCTGGATTCCAGAATAGTTTGTCAGGGTTATTGTGGGGGGAGGGAGGGAGGTTGCTGGGCAAGGACTGCCTCAGAGACTCAGGGGCAGCTGGCCAGGATTTGGCTAGCCAGCATTCCTCAGCAACTGTTCTGGAACAGCCTGGCCAAAGGATGTGAAAGCGCCACTGCGCCACCCAGTGCTCAAAGAGGTCAGTTTCCACCCAGGATGTTGGCAGAAGTGTGACATCTATTTAGCAACGGGAGGTGTTGATGGTGGCATAAACCCCAGACCACTTCAAGCATTGTCAGGCCCTGGGATCTTCTGCTCCGCTTATTCCTCCTCTTTGAGCTTTTTCCAAAATCTCAGCATCTTTTTTGTAACGTGACGACCAAAACTGGATGCAGGATTCCAGATGTGGCCAAAGCTTCAAAAATGGTACCAATACTTCATGGGATTTTGATTCTATGCCTGTTTATACAATCAAGGATTGTATTGGCATTTTTGGCTGCTGCCGCCCATGGCTGGCTCGTCTTTAAGGAATCGGCCACCTGGACTCCAAGGTTCCCCTCACATGAGAAGGAAGTTGTCTCCACAGTGGAATAAGGAGCCCTCAGAGACACACACACACCTTTACATGTGTATATGTAGTTCTTTATAGGTTTTTTTCTATACTTTATTATTTGTAGTTTGCGTTAGTTTTTGTTTTCTAATTCTAATCTTTAATAAAAATTATATATATTTTTTTAGAGAAACAATTTTGATGGTGCAACTTTTTGTGCCCCTCCCCTTTTCAACCCTACCCCTCACTACGCCCATTTCCAACACACAGCCGGTTTTTATGATTTGATTGATTGATTGATTGATTTGATTTATTTCATTTATTTCATTTATATGCCGCCCTTTTCCCCGAAGGGGACTCAGGGCGGCTCACAATTC